GGAGAATTCAAATATGTAAAAACTCCTACATTAGCTATGAAGGCTTTTTTTTTTTTTTTTTTTTTAAAGAGAGCATTGTGTGATAGCTTTTGAGCTCTCTAATTCCCACTTGGCTAATATTTTTTGTATTTAATGGTAATTTGGCCTGGTATTCTAGAGATGCACCTTTTTTATTTTTTATTTTTTTATTTTTAACTTATGCAAAAGTCTTAATAGAAAATGAAAGTAAGTGAACGTTTGATATATAGATTTAGAATTATAATTTAAAATTATTTTCAGTTTATGTGTATTTTTTGTGAGAAAAAATACTATAACGAATTACGAACTATGATTCGAACCATGACGAATCCTCATACAAAACACCTCATAAAGGATTTGAACTTTGACTGTTTGGTAGATTTCCTACTCGCAGCGTACATTTGTGGACTTAATTATTTTACACCATAATCGAACATTTAAAAAGTTAGTTGAACAACTTGCACATGGAAAAAAAATAGGATAAAAACGATATGCAAAACAGTTACATATATAACTACATGGTAGGGTTAAAAAAAAAAAAAAAAAACTCTACTAGTAGTGCGTAATTTTGGACAATTTGATAATCAAATTAAAGCCGATAATAAACAAACTAGCTGAACTTAATAAAATTGTGATGTTTCATAATTATGCAGTAACAATAAAGTCTCGTTCATTTCACCGATTTGAGTTTTCAATTCTAGGTTTCTACAGTAAAAAATTTTCAGAAAATGTCACATTTAACTTTTTCTGCTGCAGTGAAAAGTTCTCACAAAATGTCACATCTCAACTCGAATTAAAAACATGAATCCGCGAAGTGAACGAAGCCTAAGATTGTTTTTTCACCCATTACAAATTTCTCATTTTTTTCATAAGCAAGCACAAAATTTCCTCACATAAACCTTACTTTGTTGCTTTTTTTTTGGTGGGGGGGGGGGGGGGGAGGGCGTGCAAAAGTATAATTTTTAATTTTTAATTTTTATTGTTTTATTTTATTATTATTTTTTTCTATTTTTTATTTTTATTGTTTTATTTTTTTATTATTTTTTTCTAATGGGCATGAAAAAAGGGTTGAATGAGAACAAACACATTTCGGGTAAAGGGAAAGGGAGAGATGGACAGAGAAACGGTTAAGGATTTATTGAAAAGGTTCACGTGGTAAGGCTGGGTTTGGTTCTGGTTTTGTTTCTCTTTGCTTCAAACTTGAAAGCGACTTCCAGTGTGGGCAAATTCCCATTTCATTTATTATCATCCGTAATATTTAGAGGCCTGGTTCTAAGTACTATTATTAATAAAAAATAAATTTTATTTATGATATTTTACTTTTTAAAAAAATACTTAATAACCCGATTAGTGTTAAACACCATTATTAATAAAAAAATGAGTTATATTTATGAATCTCACACTGTAGAACACACTTTTTATAGTCTTTGCTCCGTTTTGTATAAGTGGATGATGCTCAACATACTAGTACCATGTAGCATTGTTTCTAAATTTAATTATATTTTTTTCCCAATAATGTTATAGAGTGCAAATTCGGATGCGTTTGGTTGGTGTATTCATATCATGATTTAAATTATGATTCTTAGTTTGTCATCGTATTTTCTCTTAAAAAATACACATAAATTAAAAATAATACTGAATTATAATTCTAAATTTATGAACTAAACATTCACCGAGAGAATTTGAATCCCGTTGCAAAAAACCAATTGGCAGGGCCTTCTCCCGTTTGGTTGGAGGATTCGTTCTCTGATTCGAATCATGGTTCATGGTTCGCTACAGTATTTTCTCTCATAAAAAATACACATAAATTAAAAATAGTTCTAATCTCATGATTTTAATCCTTGAACTAAATTGGTCATTTTTTATATTTTTCAACTTTAATGTGCAAGGAGGGCACGTGTCATTCAGCTTGTGGGTGGTTCCACTAGCTTTGATATTATTATAATATGTTGGAATTTGGAGGAATGGGCCTGCCTGCCTTCCATGGTCAGACTTAAAGGTGTTCCTCATCTATCTTCTATCTTCTATCTATCTTCTAAGAGACTAAAGAAGATAAGGACGTACAACTAGTAAAAACAGTGCTAAGCAAACTGCCAAATTATGTCCGGATTTGGAGTTAGTTTTATTTTTATTTTTCACATTTTAAAAAAAATAAAAAAAAATAAAAAAAATGATGTTTGACATAATTAAAGATAATTAACGAAAATAAAAATATTTTTTTTAATTTAGTACAAAATAAGAGATAAATGAAGTCATTTTTTATTTTTTATTTTAATTTTTTCCTCTCAAGCACAAAAAGAGATATTAATAAATTTTTTATACTATAAAATAATCTCTTAATAAAACTATTAAATACATTTTTAAAAATTATTTATATCTAAAATTAAAAATATTTTTATTTTTATTTTTATATAAAAAAATAAAATTATTTTAAAATGAGTTTTAAAGACACCTTATGAGTCACACCAATTATCTGCTTTCAATATTGATTAACAAGAGTACCACTGTGAGGTGTGAATGAGACTCATGATAATAATCAACTTTTGAAAAAGGAGTCCAAAGAGATTAAAAGCGTTCAGAGCTTTTTGTTTTTCCAATAGGATTTTTAACGTTTTTAATACATGAACTAATTTTTAACGTTTTTATATCTACAATATTATGACTTTCTTTTTTTTAATATTATTTTATTTTCCTTTTACCAAACACAGCTAAGATGAAAAATGCAATACTAGTCTACCCACTAATATCCACCAAAACACATTCAAGCTTCATTTGGTCGTTTGTTATGAAAGTTGAAACTAGAGTAATTTTAATTTTAATTTTAAAACTAGAACTATGATTCGTGATTTTAGATTTAAATCATAATTTTGAATCCAGAACCAGAATTAAAAGTTTAAATCACTCCAAACTAAAGGAGAGGTGATTTTAAAATCATAAGTGATTATGATTTAAAACATCACATCAAAATTTAAATCATGAATCAGAACCATTCAAATCAAATATTAATTCTTAATGAGTCAAATCAAAATCATTTTTTTATTTTTTATAAATAAATACTAATTTAAACCATAATTATGATTCTGAGTTCTAAAACTCTTATACCAAATGTGCTCTAAGTTGATCCCATATGAGTGTAGGAAGGTCCAGAAAAGTCGGGGCTTCCCGCTTGAAATAAGGCTAACCAAATTCATATGAGCCTTATATTAACAAAAAAAAAAAAAAGTAAAAAAAAAGAAAAAAAAATATGACCCAAATAGCTAGACTCAATTACATAAAGGGAGAAAGAGGAAAATATACCAAGACTTGAGATGAATTAAAATTAATAGGCCAATAGTTTATATAAGTTAATAAATAAGCCAAATTACTGTTTTCGTCCATAACTTGTCTGGTTATAAACCATAACTTGATAAGTTATTGTCTATAACTTATCTGGTTATGAACCATAACTTGACAAGTTTGTCCATAACTTATCTGGTTATGAACTATAACTAAAAAACAGCCTATATACTTTCTTAACTTTTCATATTGGCATATTTCCTACTATTTCCCTTACATAAAAAACCACAAACTAAAATCATAACATGAGCCGCAATTTGGGTTTGGCCTAGCCAAAAGTCCATTACTATTGGTTTGATCCCGACCCCGTGCATTTGGTTGCAGTGGGAGAATGGTAATAAGAATGGTAATGAGAATGATAATAGAATAGAATAAAAAAGAAAAATGATTCATTTGTTTGATTATACTTTTACAAATACAATAGAATGAGATATGAATATTTTCATTTTGATAAAATTACCCCTCATGTTAATATAACTAATATCATATATATTAATATAATCATTTAATAACTAATATTATATATATAAAATTATAACGATATAATATATATATAATTATAATTAACGTTATATAATTATTTATTACAATATCACAACTATATTATATTATATTATAATGATAAATATAATTATAATAATTATTATTAATTACAATATCACAACTATATTATATTATATTATAATGATAAATATAATTATAATAATTATTATTAATTACAATATCACAACTATATTATATTATATTATAATGATAAATATAATTATAATAATTATTATTAATTACAATATCACAACTATATTATATTATATTATAATGATAAATATAATTATAATAATTATTATTAATTACAATATCACAACTATATTATATTATATTATAATGATAAATATAATTATAATAATTATTATTAATTACAATATCACAACTATATTATATTATATTATAATGATAAATATAATTATAATAATTATTATTAATTACAATATCACAACTATATTATATTATATTATAATGATAAATATAATTATAATAATTATTACTAATTACAACATCACAACTATATATTATATTATCTTCTAATGATAAATATAATTATTATTAATTACAATTTCACAATTATATTATAAATATTAATACAATAATTATAATATTTAAGGGTAATGATAAAAAAGAAAATTAAAAGAGCTTAGAATGGACATTCCTCTCATATGATGAAGGAATAATGATTCGCCCATTTAATGAAAAAGTTATTCCATTTTGAATAGCCATTCATTTTCTTAAAACTAATCAAACATGAAAATGAATCTTAATTCTTTTCCATTCCTTTTCATTTCTTTCCGTTCCCCCCAACCAAACACACCCTAAGTGTCTAAGTTGGGCCCGGCAGAGATTTCATGCCCGAAAGTTTATTTGGGCAGAGAGAATGTGTAATTGCTATTGAAAAATGGAAAGTCAAAAAAAATATCAAATGTTGATTATTTTTTATCTTGAAAAAAAAAAAACCTACTCTCAATGAGAAGAGCCTTCATTTATATTCTATTAGTAAAGCGCTAGCACGTTACTTCTAGCAGCTTGCTTCAAACACCATTTTTTTATGTAATCTCAGCTCGACGAGCTTTCAGGCCGGGCTAGGCTAACCCTCCTTTAACTCAGGCTAGCTCACCCTAACCCGAACTTGCGGCTCTAATTCATAACCATTTTTCCCTCTTCACCAATATACATGATGCATAAACCGGTAGTAGTAGTAGTAGATACATGTAACATGTTGCATAGGTGTAACATGTTGCATAGGTGTTTGCATAGGTGTAACATGTTGCATAGGTGTTTTCTACTAGTCTGGAATGTCCACCACACTTGTACTCGCTCTAGGTTTGTCTTCTTTCTTTGATGCTTTCTTGCGCTTCCTTTCAGATTGGGGTTCTTTGGCTTTCAGCTCATTGCCAAAGGACCTCAACGACGCAGCTAGATGCTCGTTTCTATGCGCTGAAAAACCCCGTATTGTGAAGAAAAAGAACATTAAATTAGAATATTATTTAAATGTAGCAGTTATATATTGAAGTAGCCGAAGGTTCCTACAAAAGGGGGATAGAAAGTCACCAGCGAGAATGACATCTTCCATGTTCACTGATTTACGACCTGCATGCTGCGCAAACAGCTCAAGGTCTTTTCCCAATTGTTCTGCTTTACACAATGGTAATAAACAGCAAAAAGGAAACAAAAAACCATTACACTATAGCCTCTGCAGGGGAAAACAAACAAGCAGAACCAATAGTTTACAAAAAGACTGTAAATAACAACTTTGTTCAAATTCTACAAACTATTCGTTTTCTGAATTACATTGTTAATATATTTGACTCAAGCTAGAAGTCCTCGACTGTTTAATACAAAACAAGTATTTTAACTTCTTTTGGCAAAGTCGTGTAATGAAATGCCTGTACTTATGCTCGTAAAGACGTAATATTCAAGGAATTGTACAAATATTTACACTCAACAGAGACAAATGTAGTTAAGCCTGCTGTGACAAGTTAGAGTGAATATTGCAGTTTGGAATTTATGAGGTCTAATTCAAACGAAAGGAAAATTGTCTTCTTGTCCATCAAAAAGAAGAAGAAGAAAATATTCATTTGACAAATGATAGCATGGAGAACTATTTTTAGAATTTCAAGCCAAAAAGGAATCACGTTTAGAAATTCTTGTCTGTATATACGTCTATATATATGTGTGTATATATATTGAGTAATTGGCACAGATGGTCCCTAAATTATGATAGTTTGGTCCCTATTTTTTTTTATTTTTAATTTTGATAAAACATGCCCTAAACTCTTTAAAACGGGAGCAATAACACCTTTTCGTCTATATCCATTAAATTTCTCTATATGTATTGTGATGTTTATCAATAACAACTAAAGAATTAAGGAACAAATGCAGGAGAACCTAGGGGTGACGAAAAGGAGTCTAACCTCAACTTTCTCCAAAGGATTCTAAACAAAGTAACAAACAACTTTAACAAAACTTAATCTGCCGCTGATTTATTATTATGTTCTTGAACAAACTAAATTCACAATCTAAACTGCTAACCACAAGTTCACAATGTCCAAAACAAGTTAATCTCCTAAAAATATTGCTAATGCCAAGAAAGAAAAATAGCTAAGAAATCAGGATTACACAACATGATTCCTCCACCAAATTATTGAACTAAAAAAAAAAAAAAACAAAACACAACGAGTTTTAACCTAGAAAACAAATAATTGGAGTTTCAATCAATACACAATTTAGCAAGTATGAACAAGGAATCCTTCAGAAAACACTTCCGATTCCACAACAGTGTCATTTACAAATGAAATTGAAGTAGAACCCAAAGATTCTGCAACCGCCAATGCACAATCGTACCTGCATATTTGAAGGCCAAATCGGCAACGCAAGCTACTACGGTTTCGGAAACTTCCAAGTCGTTTACTTTTGCTGTTCTTCCAATCAAATGAGAAGGATTGCGTAAGAGTCAAATAATAGGGAAAAAGAAAAAGAAGAAGAAGAGAAAGGAACCTTGGGCTTGGGCAATGGAGATGGTAGAGAGCCTAAAGCGGTCTCGCAAGAGGGCGGTCAGCGACTGATCTTCTTCGGTTTCCATTTTTGGTTCTCTAAAGGAAGGTGAAATTGAAAATGGTCGTCTTTCTCCTTCTTCCTTTGGAAAGATTAGGGCTTTCCTTTTCTCTTCAGTCTCAAATAGAAGATCCGCGCGGGAAAATTTGACATAAAAACGCTCCCTTTTCGCTCGTGGATGACCTAGTGCAGGTGTAGCTGTTTGTTTGTTTGCTTTATTTTATTTTATTTTTTTTAAGGTGATGTCTGCGGACTCATGGACGTATTTAAAATTTGTTTTAAAATAATTTTATTTTTTTATGAAAATAAAAATAAAAACGTTTTTAATATTAAATAAAAATTATTTTTAAAAATGTGTTTAGTAATTTTATCAAGAGATTATTTTTAGTGTACAAAAATTCATTAATGTCTCTCTCTGCTCAAAAGAGGAGAAAATGAAAACCGATTAAAAGTCATTTTTTATTTCTCTCTCATTTTACACTAAACTAAAAAATCGTTTTTATTTTTATTTTTTGTCTTTATTGCGCCAAACACCGTTTTCATTTTTTCTTTCTCAAAAAATGTGAAAAATAAAAACGGGATTAATTTCAAACATGGCCCATGATTTTTCTGGGGCTACTCTTTTTCTCTTAAAAAAATTGAATTTTAAAAGTTATAATTAAAACCTATTTTGTACCTTGGTTTGAAATGGTTTCATCCAACCTAAGGGCCTGTTTGTTTGCGTTTTCGTTTTCGTTTTTCACGGTTTTCAAAGCAAAAAAATGAAAACGGGTGTTAAAAACGTGTTTGGTGCAATTTTTTTTAAAAAAACAAAACCAAAAACGTTTTTGTCTTTTTGTGAAAATCAGAAAACGAAAAAAATGTGTTTTCATTTTCTCGTTTTCGTTTTCTGTTTTATGAAAAACGGATTTCACTTTTTTTTTTCTTTTTCATTTTCTTCCCTTTTTTCTGAAACCGTTTTTGTATTATATATGTTTATTTAATATATTATTATTTAATATTATTATTTAATATATTTAATAATATTATTTATATAATATATTTAATATATTTATTTAATATATTTAATAATATTATTTATTTAATATATTATTACATGTTTTCAAAAATTAAACCACCAAACACAATTTCAGTTTTTTTTAAAACTGAAATCAATCTCTAAATAAAACTACCAAACGCATTTTTAGAAATAATTCAAAAATGAAACTAAAAACGTTTTCATTTTCGTACAGAAAATAAAAACGTTTTGGAACCAATTCCAAACACACCCTAAGTTAACAGTTCAACCATTCAGGTTAGTAAAAATAAAAAAAAAATTAAATCATTCAGGTCTTATTTAGTAAAGGAGTTTAAATCCCGATTTAAAATTGTGCTATAATATTTTTTTTTGATAAAAATTTAAATTTAAAAAGTTTTATTATTTTTTCTCTCATAAAAAATGTTAAAAATTTTAATTTTAATTTAAATTCTATAAAGCAAATAAGTCCTCAATTATTTTTTCATTTAAAAAAAAAATTCTTTAATGCTCTCTCTTTTTTAAAATACGGTTATTTTTTATTTTTTTAATCATTAAATTTAATTAAAATTACATTAAATTAAAAAATTTATAGAATAAATAAATTTTAATACATATATAATGATTAAAAATGAAAACACCAATATCCTCAAAAACATCGCACAAAATCCCTTTAAAAAAAATGGCACACATTTGTCATAATTAAAAAGTAAAAACCGGAAAATAACAACCCATCCAAATAAATGCAGTAAAAAACTAAAAAAAAATAAATGAATATGTAAACATACAAAAGACCCCAACTTTCCTCTCAAATCTCCCTCACTCCCTGCCGCCGTTAGCGACTCCGGTGACTCTCTCTCTCTCTCTCGCTCTCTCTAATCCTACGAAACTCCGAAACTGAATTCGAGAAACGTTGTGTAGTATTTGTCGTTCGTTTTGAAATTTCTATTTCCGAAATTGTTTAACGTTGTGAAATGAAATTGTTTACTCACAAATTCCCAAACTCCCAAATAATAATCAAACTCAGATCCACAGAATCTCTCTCTTATGCACTTTTCTCTTCAATCCCTCAACAAACCAAAAACCCAGAAAAGCATAATCCGCAGGATATCATAACCCAAAAATCACTACTCAAACTGATCCATTCTTCTCAGTGGCATTTCATCAAACAGCATTCGCGCAACCTTTCAACCTCCTTAATCTCAGACACTCTTTGCACTCTCCACCAAACCCCACAACTCGTTCTCAAATTCATCAACCAAATCGAGTTCGATCGCCTCAATGTCGAAAGCCTTTGCCTTGCTACCACCATTCTCGCCCCAATCCCGTCCCCGAAAACCGCCTTGCATCTCCTCAAGCGCGCCGTCAATGGCGGCATTGCGTCCACCAGAGAGATTTTCGAGGAACTCGAACGTGCCCGGGAACGGTTGAGCATTGAAAGCGCTGTAGTTTTCGATTTTTTGATAAGGGCTTGTTGTGAACTGAACAAGGCTAAGGAGGCTTTTGAGTGCTTCTGGATTATGAAGGAGAAAGGTGTTGTTCCTAAGATTGAGACTTGCAATGACATGTTGAGTTTGTTCTCGAAATCGAACATGCTGGAGATGGCGTGGCTTTTGTACGCGGAGATGTTTAGGTTGAAGATTAAGTCAAGTGTTTATACTTTTAACATTATGATCAATGTGTTGTGTAAAGAAGGGAAGTTGAAGAAAGCAAAGGAGTTTATTGGATCAATGGAAATTTTGGGAGTTAAGCCGAATGTTGTCACTTATAATACATTGATTCATGGGTATTGTTTGAGAGGGCGAATTGAAGGAGCTCGGATGGTTTTCGATGCAATGAGAGGGAAAGGTATTAGGCTGGATTCGTATACTTACGGTTCGCTAATTAATGGTCTGTGCAAGGAACGAAAACTCGAGGAAGCATCTGAGCTTTTTGATAAGATGATAGAAATTGGATTGGTGCCTAGTGCTGTAACTTATAACACCATGATTGATGGTTACTGCAATAAGGGTGATTTAGATAAGGCTTTCAGTTATAGGGACGAGATGATCAAGAATGGTATAAAGCAGACAGTTTCGACTTACAATTTGTTGATTCATGCATTGTTTTTAGAAGGTAGGACGAGTGAAGCTGACGGGCTCGTTAAAGAAATGGGGGAAAAGGGGATTGTTCCGGATGGCATTACGTATAATATCTTGATAAACGGGTGTTGTAGATGTGGGAAAGCGGAGAAAGCCTTTGCCCTTCATGACGAAATGTTGAGCAAAGGGATTGAGGCCACAAGGGTGACTTATACATCACTAGTTTATGTTTTGAGCAGGCAGAAAAGAATGGAGGAGGCTGATGAATTGTTTCAGAAGATGATGAGTAAAGGTGTTTTGCCTGATCTTGTTCTGTTCAATGCCCTGATTGATGGTCATTGTGGGAACGGGAATATGGTACGTGCGTTCTCGCTCTTGAAGGAGATGGATAAGATGAACGTTCCTCGTGACGAAGTGACTTACAATACCCTCATGCAAGGGCTTTGCAGGCAGGGGAAAGTCGAAGAAGCTCGCGAGCTTCTTGATGAGATGAAGAGAAGAGGGATTAAGCCCGACCACATTAGTTACAACACACTTATTAGCGGTTATAGTAAAAGAGGTGATGTGAAAGATGCATTTAGAGTTAGGGATGAAATGTTGAGCATAGGATTCAATCCCACACTTCTCACTTATAACGCCCTTATACAAGGCGTATGCAAAACCCGAGAAGGTGATCTTGCTGAGGAGCTCCTCAAGGAAATGGTAACCAAAGGATTCACGCCTAATGACAAGACCTATGACTCTTTAATTGAGTCGATTGGGAAAGATGGCAAATTTGTGAATTCTGGTGATTCATGATTGTTTGTTGGGCTGAGGCAACTTCTCTTAATCTCGATTTTTGTTCAAACACAGTCATAATGATCCATGTCGTCAAGTAGAGAATTACGCATTGAAGATGGAAGAAACTTCAAGAAAAGCATCTTCAATCCGGACAATCTAACACATGACGAACTGAAAGATAAAGATCGCGAAGGGAGAAGACGGAGAAGCTACTATTTGTTCTGAATATTGCTGTCAGCTCCCTGTATAATGATGTCAATGGAGGAGGAAGTGGAAAGAGTAGATTGCAGTATGATTTTGCTACTATTTATTTTCTGAGAGTTTGAAGAGCAAGTAGAGAAATGTATGTTTGTAGCAGGGTTTGTTAGCGAGCTGCGCCAAAATTATATAGATTTGTCCTTGAGTTTTCTTTTCTTTTATTTACTTTTTTGCTAGTTTGTTCTATTGTTTGTTTTTCATTGGAAGCATTTTAAGTATTTTCCTTGCGAAATGAACCCACAAGATGGATACGTACAAAAAAACTATTAAAAAAAATGACGGAATGTAATGGTGAATCCTGAACTGCAAACGTGTTTGAGGGTCTTTTTGTCAAAATAAAGGGTACGAGCGTCAAAATGTCACCCACTAAAGACTTTACGAGTCTATATGTCAATAACACATTTTATTTTTTTGTTCTTAGTGTATTGTTGGATAAGCAAAATACAATCGTATTTTTTAAATGTATTGTTTAGTAAGTAAAATACAGTCTGACTTGTTTTTGAAAAAAGAAAAATACAGTCTTAGGCTCTTATTTAGACGAAAAAAAGAGAGAATTTAATTCTTCAATTAGTCTCAAAATTCCCAAAGAAAAATTCACATCCGATTAGAAATAAATATTGCTCTTTCGGAAATTCAGGTCTAAACTATCAAGATTATTTATTTATTTATTTTTAAAAGACGAATAGACCAAACGAAAGAAGGGGCACTGTTATTAAACAGATAAAAGCTCAAAATTAAGAGCACGCTTGATTGTTGCGTTTAAACTCATAGTTTTGATTTTGTTACATGCTTTTTTTCTTACAAAAAATTTAAATTTTAAATATCAAAATCAAGAATTATTGATTTAAACGCATGAACATTGTTGCGTTTAAACTCATAGTTTTGATTTTGTTACATGCTTTTTTTCTCACAAAAAATTTAAATTTTAAATATCAAAATCAAGAATTATTGATTTAAACGCATGAAGTAAACAAGTCTTACTTTTCAAGGCTCACTAACAAGCTCACTCATCAACTCAGCCTGCAATAACTTAGCAGCTTCCTTTACCTTCCTTCTATTCCAAAACCCATTCACCACAAAACCCCATGTTTCCTCATCCGGAACACACCCATCAAGCACCATGTCATCAACAATTCTTGCAGCCTTGTGCAAGTCACCTTTCTTACAATAACATTTCACCAGAGACTTGAATGTCTCGTGCTCGATCGTGATTCCCCGAGCACGCGCACTAAGATACACCTGAAAAGCCCGGTCTAGGCCTCCATTGGTGCAAAGGCCTTGCACCACAGTGTTATGAACCCCAACATGGAGGCTCCACGTCAGGCGATTTGGCTTGATGCCCTCAAGGACCATCTCATCGATAAAGTTTGCCGCTTCTTGAAACTTACCGACGTCGCAGAACCCGGTTATGATTTTCCTATATAGGCCTGCATCTGGCTTTAATCCTTGAAGCTTCATCCTGTCAAGTATTTCCATAGATTCTCTAAGCTTTCCTTCTTTACATAGTCCGTGGATCAAGGTGCTATAAGTGACCATGTTTGGCGAATGGCCTTTGCTAATCATCATGTGGAATAAATCCATGGCATGAGACGACCGCCCGCCCTTGCAAAAACCATCCATTAGAGAACTGTATGTGAACACATTCGGACTAATGCCTTTGCTTGTCATCTCTTCAAACAACTCCACAGCTTCGTCCAAGTTGTTAGACTGACACAAACCGTGTATCAAGCTAGTGTACGTTACAACGGTAGGTGAACATCCTCTCGTCTCCATCTCTTTGAATAGCTCCTTCGCGTCGCCAACCTTTCCAAATCTACACAATCCGTTGATCAAAGTGCCGTAAGTATATGAATCCGGAGTAAAACTGCGGCTGGGCATCTCGCGGAACATATCAAGAGCCGCATCTACTGTTTCGCTCATTTTGCACAGGGCTTTCAGCAAAATATTAAGCGAAGTGAGAATCAGTGGTATACCCATTTCTTTCATGTACCTATAAAGAGCAGTAACACAATATCATGAATGTGTAGGCGTAATTCTGTAAGTTCTGTAATGCTGAAATCACTGTTTTTTCTTGATGTTTACATCAGTTTTTACCTGTAAAACCTGAATGCCTCCTTTAACTGGTTTTCTTCAACAAGAATGGATAATATAGTAATGTATGATTTCGAGGTCGGTTTGCACTGAAGATCCTCCATCTTCTGGAAGACCCTGATGGCGTCTAAGGGCCTATGAACGCGACCATATCCTCTACAAAGAGATAAGAATATGTCCTCTATAATCTTACACTTCTCCTCTTTCATTCTACCGAGAAGTGCCTCAGCCGATCTGAACTGATTAGCAGAGACTAATTTAGAGATCATGAGAGAAAAAGTGCTGTGATCATGTCGAAAACCGTTGGCATACTCAGCTGTCGCCGAGTCGAATATGAGAATGGCTTTCCCAACGTCCTTTTCAGCTCGTATCAGCTTCTCAACTTGGGCAGTTGTGACGTTCTTCGACCATTTGAAGAGATTAGTTCTACTTCCCATTGTTGTTGCAACAAATCTCATAAACTTACTCGCTTCTATCGAATTCGATCCAAAGGGCATCCGTCATTCGTCATGTTCTACAATGTAAGAAACTAACAATGAAAGCTTACTCGCTTATTTATTCATTTATCTATTTATGTCCGTTTTCTTCACAATAAGCTTTTGTATCAACTCACTGGTGCATTTCACCAAACACATGGCGCGCAAAGAACCAGTAAATGTAATCAAGGAAACATGAAATAATCAAATGCTATTTAGAAAAAGGAGAGAACAATATATATATATATAATGAGTAGCTCACCTGCCAATAATTACTTTAAACCTTTTTTTTTTCTTTAGCCCTTTTGAGCAGAGGATTTGAGCGAAAAGCTTTTGCCGTTTGCAAAGCAGAACCGGACCTATACGACGAAAAAATATAAGGGGTTGTTCGGCTGTGAAGTTTTTGAGTTAAAAATTAAAAAAAAGTAATATGAGTTACAATTTTATTTAAGTTTATGTTTTTTTAAGTTTAAATTCGAGTTTAGGACTAAAATTTGAGTTCAAGTTTCTCATTCAACTCGAGTTCAGAAACTCGAACTCAAGTTAATGAACAATATTTTTCTATTCTTAAAAATGTTATAACTTTTTCGTTTTACTTCTGATTGAGATGATTTTTTTTCTATGCGTTGACAACGAAAAGATAAATAAAACCCCACCCATATACCCTATTAAAATTTTCCATCAGTATTGAGTTTTTATTAAAATACTATCTAAATACAAATTCAAGTTTTGACTCACTCAAACACAAACTCAAAAAAATTCTTATCTCAAATCATAACTCAAATGTATACAACCAAACACAAACTCAAGTTACAACTTCAACTTAAGTTATAACTCAAACTCAACTCAAAATCTACACTCAAGTCACCTAACTCAAAAACGGCAAAAGAACAAGCCCTAAGTTTGATTCGAAGCCAAACGGAAATGAACTTTATGCCCTTTTTTTATTTGAGTTTTTAATTCGAGATGAAATGTGATTTTATGTGAGAATTTTTTACTGTAGTAAAAAATTAGATGTGATTGTTTCTGAAAACTTTTTATCATAGTAAAACTCAAATTTTAAACTCGAATCAGTAAAATGAACGAGGCATTTAATTATGTTAGAGAGTTTGTTTTACGACGTAAGAATTTAACAGAAAACTAAGGGTCCATTTAGTTCGTTAATTTGAGTTGAGATGTAACTTTATATAATAACTTTTTATTGTAGTAAAAAAATTAAATATGACTATTTATGAAAGTTTTTTACTATATTAAAATTTAAATCGGTAAAATAAATGAGTTCTAAACCAAAAACGTACATCGGCAATCACACTCAGCAGAGCCAACTCAAGTTTACTGTGCGCGGACGTGTTTTCGGGTTATTACATTTGCTCTGTGAGCTTATCGTTATTTAACAAGTTATCCTTAAATTTTTAATTTAACAATTAACTTTCTGATCTTATTTAACTGTTACAATTAAACACATTTGAGTAACAACGTTAAATTTTGAACAAAATTAACCATTCGTCGGTTATATGTGGAGTTTTAAAAGGTAAAAATTAATATTTTATATACCTTAATTATCGTGTATGAATATTGAAGTGATTGACACATGGCTAATTCCGTCTTCAAAAAACTAGAATAATTGTTTGGTTTTATTCTTTCCCTCACAGTCATGCCAACTTTGGAATCCGTCTTTCCGCGTGAGAATTGCTTCATGGGAATAAAAATGGATCAGAATTACATGTATAGTTTCTACCTCACCATAAACGCGCGACAAGATTTAAAAAGATATACATCAAGAAAATAAAATAGTTGTGCAAGAGAGTTTGAAACAGATTGATAATTCAATTGTTAAGATCCGTGATAGTGTTAAATATGTCAAGAGATCCCAAGTGAGGAAGTAAAAGTTATTAGATTGTGTGAAGTTAGTTACAATTGGTGATAAGAAAGGGTTGTATCACGATGTACCAACTAGGTAGAATTCGACATATCTTATGCTTGAAAGTGTTCTCTACTATCACCGTGTATTTCAACATTTAGAGTTGAGTGATTCAAACTACAAACATTGTCCTTCTAGTGCCGAGTGGGACAAAGTTGAAAAGATTAAAACTTTTTTGAAGTTCTATGATGCAACTCTTAAATTTTCTGGAACAAAGTATCCCACTGCCAACTTGTACTTCCCTTCCATTTGGCATTGTTGCTTCATGTTAAAACAATAATCAGAAGGTGATGATGAGTACTTAAAGTATATGGCAACAGCAATGTGGGGCAAGTTTCAAAAGTATTGGTCTCAATTTCATCTTACCTTGGCTATAGCATGTGTTCTAGATCCTCATTTTAAGCTTGGGCTTGTTGAGTTCAGTTACAAAAAGCTTTATGGAGATGATTGTCTTGAATGCATATCAATGAGGAGTAAGTTGTACTCTTTTTTTGAAGAGTACAAAAAAAAGGATTCAACTAGCCAAAAGACCAATGCTTTTGAATCTTTTATGATGAAAAAAGAAGGAAATGATGATGTGAATGTTATATTCAAGGTAATTTCTCTATTTATTAGTAATGCAGATGTTCTATGCTTATGTCTGATTGTGTATTCTTATATTATCTCCTTCTCATTTTGTAGGAATTTGATGAGATGTCTTCAGTTGAGTCTACTACCGCATCACAGAAATCAGAGCTTGACCTTTATTTGGATGAGCCAAGACTGGCTAGGACCGCAGAGCTTGATATCCTTTCCTTTTAGAAATCAAACCAATTTTGATATCCAGCACTAGCTTCTATGGCTTGTGATATATTGGCTGTCCCTGTTTCTACAGTTACTTTTGAAGCCACATTTAGTGTTGGTGGTAGAGTTCTTGATTCATTTCGTAGCTCACTTAAACCAAAGACAGTTAAAGCACTTGTTTGTACCAGAGATTGATTATATGGAGACAAATGTAGTTTCAAACTTACTTAAATTATGTATATTTCCTATATTGATTTTGAACTAACTTGTATTTATATATAATTGTTTTTGTGTAGATTTCAATGAAGAGGTGGAGGATCTTACACAAGATATCTTCAACTTTTCATTGAACGAAGAGGAGCATTTCTCACAGGGATCAACTTCTCATGAACGTAATGATGCACTTGGAGTCCCCCCACTGCAACAAATTACTTAAATGTTTAATTATTAATCATGTATGTTTATTTTCTAAATTGTGAGACTTTTATGTGTTTGTTTTTTAATTTGTGAGAGACTTTCATGTGTTTGTTTTAATTTTGAACTTAGATTATCTAATGTCTCTACATCATGTTAAACAGGTTGAGAAACATGTTCAGAAATAGGTTCTGAAATAGGTTCAAACGTGTTGACAATAACCAGGTCATAAACGTGTTGACAGGTAATTAATGGGTTGACACGACACGTTTACGACATGTTTCGTAAACGTGTTGACAGGTAATCAATGGGTTGACACGACACGTTTACGACCTGTTTAATAAACAGGTTAATTGTGTCGTGTCGTGTCAACCCGCTAATAAACAGGTCGTGTTTGGATTTTGAATTTTGACATGATTAATAAACGGATCGTGTTCGTGTCAGACCTATTCGTGTCAACTGAGGGGTTCAACACGACACGAACACGACCCATTAACACGAATTGCCACCCCTACTTAGATCTCCTACTTAGATCTTGTTGCGGAATTTGAGATGCAAAGATTGTGAAACTTTTTGGGTCTATTTAGTTCGCTAATTCGAGTTTTTAATTCGCATTAAAATGTGATTTTATATTATAACTTTTTATTGTAGTTAAAATGTTAGATGTGATTGTTTCTGAGTACTTTTTACTGTAGCAAAACTTGAATTCTAAACTTAAATCGGTGAAATGAACGGAACTTTTAATTCTTGTATTTTAATATCTTTTCCTACTTAGATCTTGTTGCAGAATAATTCCGCAAAAATTGCGCAACTTTTTAATTCTTGCATTTTAATATCTTTTCCTATTTAGATCTTGTTGTGGAATTTGAGATGCTGAGATTGCGGAATTTGGGATGCTAATCTTTTCCTACTTAAATCTTGTTGCGAAATTTGAGATGCTAATCTTTTTTGGGATGTTGAGATTTGACGGTCGTTCAATTTTCAACCACTTGATTAGAATATAAATTCTCTGGAATCAAAATAAGTGTTTGCATCCATTATTTATCAATATCTATAACAACAATTTTTAGATAAGTTAAGGTAATTAAATTCGAACTAAGCTTATATCCCGCTTCTTTCATCTGCCTAATTATTGGTACCCAGCTCCAGAACTCCATAAATATAACAAGGATTTATTAATTCGCTTCACTTTGGGATGTTGAGATTTGACGGATTTCATCGTTTTTCATTTTGAGATTGGACAGTGGACAGATATCACCGATTTTGATTTTTATTTTGGAATGATGAAGAGGCTAAATTTTAACTTAAATTAATCGAAAGCTTTAAAAGCTCTATCTTTACCATATAAAGACTTGTGGCGTCGTTGCTTATAAAGGGAGTGAGAAGAGAGAAATGTTGGTGTGTTTTCCATGTGGGAAAATCTATCATTTTGAAATTTTAAAACACTGAAAAACTTTATAAGAAATGTTGGTAGCTCCTACAACAACTTGCATTAGAAGATGTTTCAGTCTAAACCTTAAAAAATGGAAAAGGATAGTTCAACTAGCTATAAGCTCAAATGGTAGTAATAAAATGCACAAAAGTAGCCATTAAAATCAATTCTAAGTTTCATATACAAGAAAAAAAAAGAATTAACATTATGCATTTTAAGTTCGAATAAAGGAATGTAGTATACAATTACAATATACAACTCCAATAAATACAAACATAAAATAACAAATATTACATGGAAAAATTGTGGAGCTCTACAAAACATTAGATGAGCATTCTAACCATTCTACAAATCAAATTAAGAGTTGATTATGCCAAAACTCAAATCAAAATGCCTCTTATTATGCCGGTACAGCCTCAACAAGTCTAGCAAAGTAGAATTGTGTGGTGATTAGACCTCTTTTCGTAATTCTCCACCCAACCTTTTGCAAAGCCCTCTCGACGTCCGCCTCTGCATGGAGGTAAGCCCTCGTCGCCTTCGAAGGCCCGGGGAACAACTCTCCTACCCTCTTCAATAGGTCGTAATAGAACGTTTTTGGAGCGAAACTCAGAATTAGTCTGTTCTCAGCCAAGGAAGCAAGGTGGGCAATCATGCCATCCGCTTTGCTCTGCGGGTAATGGATCAAGACGTCCAGGCAGACCACCGTGTCATACTTCCCGTCCAAGCTCTCCAGATCCTTGACTTCAAATTTCGGTATCGAGACGTTATCTTGGCCAAATAGTTGTTCTTTTGCCTGCACAAGATTCAGAGCGCGCTTAAGGTCATAAGTTTAATTAGCAACATAATAGGCTGATAAGCAAACACTTTAAACTGATTAAAAACATTTTTCCTAATGACATCAATATGAGAAAAAGAATTTCTACTGAAATTATACACACAGGATATACAATGGACATGCTAAAAGTAACATAAATGAAGGTGAGTGAGTTCCAACTACAATTGTCTTTTTTTCTCTCTCAAAATCACTAAACAATTACTATTTCAGAGCACCAAATAAACAGTTCATACTAAATTTTCAGGCCAGAGATTATACTAGAATTAATACTTTAGCAAAAAAAAAAAAACAATAAATCCAAAAAAAAAAAAAACCATGTCCAAACAGGAGAACATTTGCAATCCCATTGATAATTTTTTGCTCATCATTTTAAAAAAAAAGAGAAAAAAAAAAAACAGAGAGAAATTGCAAGTGTCATGACAATCTTCGTACCAATTGAACCATACTAAATTTCAACTATCTAACAATTTTTTTTTTTTTTTTTTCAAAGAGTATATTGAGCATAAATTGAAAATTTAAAATATAAAAAGTGCAACAGGGTAATAATACAAAATGCAGGTACAAAAAATGTAAATTTCCCAAATAAACAAAAACAAAAAGTATAAAATAAAATAAAAACCTGCTTCTGAGCCTCATCGACCATGGCGGCAGAGATATCACTGGAGAAAACAACGGCCCCTTCTTTGGCCAGCGGAATCGACAGCGACCCGGTCCCGCACCCGGCGTCGCAGACGGTGACCCCCGCCAAAGAGCCCTCATCTTTCAACATCTTCAACACGCTCTCCACCGTCTTGGAGTGCCCCAGCCTTATGTCCTTCTGCACTCTGTTGACGTCGTCGGTGTCGCCGTAGATCTTCCGCCACCGCTGGAACCCGGAGTTGTTGAAGTACTCCCGGACCACTTCCTTGTCGCCGCCGCCGACCTCCTCGGCCTGGAGCTTCCGGCGACGCTCGGGGTCGGTTAGGGAGACTGCGGCGGCTAGTGCGGCGGCGGAGGTGGCGGCCACGGCGGCGAGGGTTGTGGGGTCCACATCGGAGGTGGTGAAGGCGGCTGGGGGAGGGAGGGGGAGGCGGCGTTTGGGGGAGATTCTCGGGGTTGGAGTGGTGGGGAGGCGGAGAGAGAAAGAGGAGGAGGAGGAGAGAGAGGCGGAGGAGAAGGGCCAGAAGGCCATAATTTGTGTTTTGGTTTGGTTTTGGGTGAATCTGCCGGGAAAGGAAAGGAAAGGAAAGGGGATTATGAATTATGATATGGAGGGAATGGGGATAGGATGGATAGAGTTCAGACTGCCTTGGCTAGCTATGCTTTTTGCTTTTTTCTTTCCTTCATAAAAATGTAAAATAAATCTACAAAAGATACGAAAATGGTGTGAAAAAATATCAATAAAAAATATAAAGAACATTGCTAAACGGCTGAGCCGTTCCACTCCATCGATTTCAATTTAAATTTTAAATTTTGTTATAATAAAAATTTTTTAAAAATAATTATATTTATTTTTTTATTACAGTAAAAAAATTTTATATAAAATCTTATCTCAATTCAAATTAACAAACTAAATGAGTTCATAAAGTGAGCTCTATGTGCATCTTATAAGAGCATGAGACTTACCTTATATGTTTGAGGAGCTAAGGAGCTGCGCATTTCGAATATAAACAATAAATATATATATATATATATATTGAAAGAGAATATAAACAATATTAAGAGGTATAAATGATGTTGAACATTATATATTAATACAAGGTGAGTTTTATAGTATGAAGCTCGTAAATATGCTCATTTTCCAGCAGTCTTTGTGCTTAGCAATTGCTAGTGGTGTCTCAAAACATTTCCTTTAAAATTTTTTATCGAGTACAAGGTTCTTTTTTTAACAGTTAGATTTTATTTTGATGTGATCTTCAATTTTCACTATATGTAACATTAGAAAACATGCATTATTAGTAGAAATATCCTATTATTGAAAGTTATCTAAAAAATTTCTTTTAAAATTTTAAGGAAAAATAAAATACGATGATGAAGCATAGCAAGACAATATTTTTTAATCACGGATCAAATTTTGTCATATTGTCATAGAAATATAGGTATCACAATCCGTTCACTCATTATCATTTTTTAAATAGGAACTGTACCTTTTTTTATTGGTAGAAACTTTTATCTTAGTCATTAGATGAACTTTTTAACAATTTGATTTATAATTGTAAATGGTCTTGTACAACACGCTGTAAATTTTAAACATAGATACTCACTAATGAGACTATTAAATATTAATCTAATTCACTTTATAATTTTTTTAACTAAGTGAAATTTTAGGTAGAAATTGCCCTTTTCACTATGAATAGTAACTATTGTTTTATTTGTTGGATTAATTTTTTAAAGGCTATGAGTATTCAAGTTAAAAATTTATTGCTTGACATAAAAATGCTCATATTCATAAATCAAAATGTTGAAAAATTATCAAATAATTGTATAATAATAGTACCTACCGGTAGCTAACAAATAAAGTTTATGCTACAAAAATTATCTTAAAAAATGTCAAATATAAAAATATGTATAGGTGTGACTCAGTTTTGAACTGTGAGATTTGTATTGTATTTGTTACTTTTGCATATTGTAAATTGATCTTGTTGAACAAGTTTCATTTCATTGATAACAATTTGAACATATAATATCTAAAATACTTGTACATAAATCTGTTGAGGGTATGAACAAAAGTTTGTCTCTATTACTAGTAAAAATATTATTAATGAAATTCAAATTACTCATCTTCAATAATTTGAATTTGTTTGATAGGTGACATATGCTATGCTTTGTAATAAGCAAGTGGACCGAAACAGAATAAAAATAAATCAGTAATTTGCTCTTAGTTACCGTAAGAAAAAAGATCCATAATATTCAAGTTGCACAAATAAAGGCATATATATGGATCACATACGGAATGAAGTTATTCGTAGTAAAATAGGTGTAGCACTAATAGAAGATAAGGTGCGGAAAAACCGTTTGAGGTGGTACGGATGTGTACAACGTAGATCATTAGATACACATGTTCGTACTTGGGAGAACATCCAAATACCTAGTACTGGGAGAGCGATGGGTAGACCAAGAATTATTTGGGCCGACGTAGTTAAGCATGACTTTCAAGATCTAAGGTTTTAGGAGAGTCTCCTATTTAATAGAACAGACTGAAAATGAGAAATCCATATAGCCAACCCTAATTAATTTGGGATTCTTGTATTTGTTGTTGTTATATGTGTATAATGTATAATTTTTAAAAGGTTTGACAGTGGTGGGTTACCAACAAAAAGTTCAGCCAATTATTGATCATGTTCTGATACATAAAACAAGAACTCATTTAAGCCAATATTTCATAGCCAAAAAAAAAAAAAGAAAAAGAAAATATATTGAATAATTAAAAATAAAAAAAAACAAAATCTTATAATATAATCAAGAGATCATATTATAAGTTCGTCACGCGCCAAGAAACTTTATATCATAAAAATTTTAATGGAAAGTCGTTCATTAAAGAGTACATGTCCTTAATCTAATCTTGTAACTTGTGAGCTATGACAACAACCAAAATTAGCTTCCAAAAGCCATTCAGATCTTAAAAAATACATAATATTTCCTAATCATGGAGACAGAAATTTTGTTTAATAACCACTTCAAGTTTAAAATCTTTAATAAGATTAGGCATATGATAATAGAAGGCTATAAAACCCTAAATTATGCCCTTTGAGATCCATTTTTCCACCAAACAACAAATTCAAACTTTTACTAATTAGTGAATTTTACCAAGTGAAAGAAAACAAAAACACATATAGCTGAAAATGAGTGGTAGCAATATCATTATTACAATAACACTAAGAACACTACTTCTTCTACCAATAATATTGTTTTCCCATGCCTCTCCATCTCTTGTTCCTTCACATCCTCCAAGACAATTTCTTGATCTTAATCATCATGATGCTTCATTATTTGATAAGTTCAAGTTTGATCCTAGTAAGCCCTTTAAAGAAGGAAAAGAAAATGTCAAATTGATGTTTTGTATTTGCAAGGTGTGCTAAACGCTCGTGCCTTGTACACAAGAGAGAGCCTTATGAGTTTGGAGAATGTATGAATATTTGTTCTTTTGGTAGGGATTGTTCTTTTTTAACCATTAGTAGGAACTGTTGAATTAAACTTTTAATACTTTAATATGTGAGTATTCACGTTAAAAATTTATAGAACATGACATATAATTCTTATAATCTCATATCAACCGTTGAAAATTAGGTCTCGTTCACTTT